TGTGTTTCAGTCTCTTTAAGTGTGGAGATTATAGACTTTTACTACTACACTACTCTAATGACTACCATCGTCAGTTTCTTTTACAAAGCTATAATGAAGTCCTTTCATTTTATACTTGTGCAATTTGAGCATGCCTATATAATAGATTCTTAGGAGTGGCCAATTTTTTGTTGATTCTATTTTTTTCAATTTTTTGTTTAAAAAACTATACACATGGTATATGAGAGTTGTTAGTTCTTCATCAATACTGAATCTGGTAAAAAATATAAATCTTATTCTGGTGCTAGTGGTTTACGCCTGTAATCCTAGCTACTCAAGAGGTTGAGATTTGAGGATTCTGGTTTAAAGCCAGCCTTGGTAGGAAAGGCCAAGAGACTCTTATCTACCATTAACTACCCAAAACAGAAAAGCCACTAGTGCAGCTTGGGCTCAAGTGGTAGAATGATAGACTTTGGCAAAAGAGCTTAAGGATAGTGCCTAGGTCCTGAGTTCAAGGCCCAGGACTGACACCTCTCCCCCAAAAAACCCACAAACAAAACAAAAAATTCTGACAAGTTGGCATAGTATTTAATTTGAATTTCTTTTTCTTTATTTCTTTTTTTTTGTCTGGTGTGGGCTTTTAACTCTGGGCCTAGGTACTGTCCCTAAGCTCTTCAACTCAAGGCTAGCACTCTACCACTTGATCCACAGTATAATATGATCTCCAGACTTCCGGCCTTTTCTGCTTATGTGGTGCTGAGGAATTGAACCCAGGGCCTCATGCATGCAAGGCAAGCACTCTATCACTGATCCACCTCCCAAGCCCTGAATTTTTTTTTTATTAATGAAGCTGAACAGTGTTTCATATTTTTATTAACCATCTGCACTATGTCGATCTTAGTGTCATGTTAAACATGTATTAGGGAAAAAGTCCTTTTCCTTCATGCAGCAAATTTAATCTGCAGAGAGTTTATGTTTTGGCTTCATGATATTTTGTTATACAATTTTTAAAATTTCTATGGTCTCAAATTTATCCATCTTTATTAGGCTTTGTTGTTGTTGTTGGTCGTGGGGCTTGAATTCTACGCCTGGGCAATATCCCTAAGAGCTCAAGGCAAGCACTCTACCACTTGAGCCACAGTGCCACTTCTGATTTTCTGGTGATTAATTGGAGATAAGAGTCTCATGGAGGGGCTGGGAAGTTGGCTCAGTGGTAGAGCGCTTGCCTTGCATGCCTGAGGCCCTGGGTTCGATTCCTCAGCACCGCATAAGCAAAAAAAAAACCCGGAAGTGGCGCTGTGGCTCAAGTGGTAGAGCGCTAGCCTTGAGCTGAAGAGCTGAGGGACAGCGCCCAGGCCCAGAGTTCAGGCCCATGACCGGACCCAAAAAAAAAAAAAAGAGTCTCATGGACTTTCCTGTCCTTCCCGGACTGGCTTTGAACCTCGATCCTCAGATCTCAGCCACCTGAATAGCTAGGATTCCAGACAAGCCACTGACCCCCAGCTTTATTAGGCTTCTTGTATAGAACAGTGTGAGTAATATAAAATTCTTTTTTTTTTTTTTGTCGGCCGTGGGGCTTGAACTCTGGGTCTGGGGGTCTGTCCCTCAGCTCTTCAGCTCAAGGCAAGCGCTCTACCACTTGAGCTACAGCGCCACTTCCGGTTTTCTGGTGGTTTATTGGAGATAGAGGAGTCTCACGGTCTCTCCTGCCCAGGGTTGGCTTTGAACCTCGATCCTCAGATCTCAGCCTCTTGAGTAGCTAGGATTACAGGCGTGAGCCACCAGCGCCCGGCTTAAAATTCTATTATGTTGTCCAGAGCACTAGGCTATTTTGAAAATGTAATTTATAATGAGCAGTCTGCTGTACTTGGACAGAGTAAAAGAGACACATTGGATAGTTTATTCAAATTATGATGAACCTGCATGATAGGTTCCCAATTTCTAGTGACCAGATAATTTATTTTTTTTCCTTTTTTTTACAGTCCTGGGGCTTGAACTCAAGGCCTGGGCACTGTCTCTGACTTTCACTTGCTCAATGCTAGTACTCTACCACTTGAGCTACAGTGCCACTTCCAGTTTTTTATGTTTATGTGGTTCTGAGGAATAGAATCCAGGGCTTCATGCATGTTAGGCAAGCACTTGACCACTAAACCACATTCCCAACTTGTGACCAGATAATTTCTGAATTAAAAAAGTATCTTGCCATGTTATATACATAACAAGTTTTAACTATCTAATTTTTATATTCCAGTATTTCCTAACCAGACATCTAAGCCTATATAAGCCTTAAAATACTGTCTCTTGGACATGTTATAAGTAGTACAAATAATTAAGATTAAGGTTATTTTACATTAGTGAATATTTTCATTGAACTGTTTTTTTTATTTTACTCTCAAAATCAAGAAGTAAACTTTTTTGTTCTTTCAGTACTTTATGAAATAATATCCATTCCTTAGGAGAGGATAGGGGAACATAGCATTTTGAGATGTACATATTGAAGGTGTGATAAACAGCTTTTGAAAGAACTCTAGCAGAAAGAAAAGAGGGGTCACTGTAAAACATTTTTGTGTCACTAAATATCTGCCTAATATTTAAGAAAATTCCTACAAAACTAATTTTTGATGTTATTAATCTTCAGTAGTATTTTTCACAAAATGAAGTCTAGTAAATAAGAATTAAAATTTCAATTTTTGTTAAAAGTATAAAATTATTTTGCAGTTGTAGTTGGTATAGAGGTCAACTGAGAGTGTAAATTTATAAAATTAATGAAAAATTGGACTGTATTATGTGATGTTTGGAGGAAAAAAATTAGTTTTTAGCTAATAGTAAAACAAGAAATCATTCAATATCAATTGCTAGTAAATTGGCACAATTGAACTAAATTAATGCAAAATGATTTAGTACACAGGCCAATTTGTCTATACTTCAAGTGGAAAAATGCATGAACTTATATAACTTTAAAATTTGTACTACTCCCTATTAATGTTTTAGCTGCACCATTCTATAATTTGGATCTCTCTTACAAAACAATAAAAAAAACTCCGTGGAATATCCTACTAAATATGTCTATAAAAGCAATGGAAATTTATTTTAAATAGTATTCTAGTCTGCAAAGCTTTAGAAGTAAGTAAAAATGTTCCACACTTTATTTCTTGTTACTGATATGTTTCAGCTTAACTTTTATTGTTCGGTTGATTAAATATACTATAATTTTTTAAGTTGCAGGAAAAAACCGCAATAACCACAGAGGACTGGAGACAGATGTGGAAGAAATATAATTTTCAGGACTGAAAAGAATCATAGTATTGCGTGAGGAATGGTTTAGCCTCTATAATTAAGTGCAATAAACACAATTTACACGGATTTTGTCCTGTTTGCCATTTGTCTTGCTATTCAATACGTTTTGTTTGTTCATTTTAATTTCAAAATTTTAACATTTAGAACAATAGGTTTTGAAATGTAAAAAAAAAAAAAAGGAAAAGGTGGAGGGAAAAACCCTATGAAGTTTTTTTTACCCAATTCTCTCAGGGGTTCAGGAACTTTTGCAATAGCAATGGAGACGCTGTAATAGGTGACAAGCTGCTGAGCTTCCAAGAGATAACCCTTCCCCACGTTTCTCAACCCCGCAGAGCTGGGGCAGTCAAAGGTTCAGTTCACTGGATTCCAAATAAACAACACAAAACTAGGGTGATAAAAGACTTGAGTTAACAGGAGTTGAAGGAGCGGAAGGGGCCCTTTAGTACTTCAAACGGTTTGGAGGACGGTTTGGGACCCTAAATCCCCAACAATGTGACCAGGCCCCCCCCCTTCCACACCCTCCCCCCTTCCACACCCTCCCCCCCTTCCCCGCCATCCCCCAGCACGTTTCCAGGCACTCAGTGGACGTTGGCGGGGGGGGGGGGGAGGGGGAGGCCCACTCCCCCTGCCAATCCTGACCCTAAATTTCCATATCCCTTCACTTTGCGGAGCCCCGTGTCCTTTTCCGTCCCCTCAGTGCCCAATACTGGTGGAGCGTCCGGCCTAGCCTAGTACCCTAGTTCCCTAAGTCTTCCAGACCTTGGAGATTATTGACCACGTTTTTGTAATTTTTTTTTGAAACGGAATAGTGGGTTGCAAAAGATCCCCCCCCCTCCCGGTCTTTCCCAGTGCTATGTCTTCCTGGTAGACAATCAGCTTCCCTTTTTTCCATACCCGGAGCAAAAGCAAAGAAACAAAACCAAACCCCAAAGCAACAACAACAACAAAAAAAAACCCAAGTCCGATTATATCAGTTTCCGATCAGGTGCCTGGAGTTGGGCGACTTGGATTATTTTGGTGGCAGGAGTAAGGACGCGAGGGAAGCCTGGGCTCAGGAACTCGAGCCGCAGGCCCCTAGCCGCTGGGGCGTGTCAAGAGGAGGGGACTTCGAAGGGTGATGCCCTACTGGGCTGCCACCTTGGGGCTGCGCTCTGGGCGGAGGAGCCTGGGGAACAAGTCGCTGGGCTAGTCCGGCCTCGGAATTCCCACAGCCTGGGGCTCGCTCCGCCGGACATTTCCTATTTGCTCGTCCCTCGTCACCCTCCTCTACACCCCCACCCCCCACAATTCCCCGGGAAGAGAGGAACTGTGACACCCCCCCTCCCACCCACGAGTCCGCGGCGGAAGCGCTTCCAAACGACAGAGTAAGTGAGGCGCGGGCACGGCACCTTGTTTATCCCACTCGGCGGCGCGCCCCTGCGGACGCCTCGTTTGCCGGCGTCGGAGACGCTGAACCCTGGAGTCAGTCGGCCACCATTGGTTAGTGACAGGGAGGAGGACGCTGGGTTGGGAGGGCTGGGAGCCAAGCTTTGCAGTGCCAACTCGCTGCCGGTAGATGCCGCCCCCTCCCAACGGGAGCCAGGCGCGGGTTCGTGGCCGACAGATGGCGCCTGCGCGTTCCATTCGCTTCCAAGTCGCCGAAGAGCGAACACCCCAAACAATCCCGAAGCGCCACCGAAAAAAAAGGAAAAAAAGAAAAAAAAAAAAGAAACCCGAAAAAAAAACCCTGAAAAAAAAATCCCGCCGGATCCGACCGCCACTTTCAACCCCCCCACCCCCCGCGCCGTTCTAGAACCGCGGGAGCTTCCGTCCCTGAGTAGAATTCGAGGGTGTTAAAGAAGAGGAAGGGGAAAAAAAACCTTGTACCAGCCCAGGGGTGAAGAAGCCCCCGGCCTGAGAAAGAAGGAAGGAGTGGGGGAGGCGAACGGTCTCGTTGCTGCCTCTGTGTACGCTGAGGGGGGAGGTAAGTTATAAAATGGCGGAGGCGAAGCTTCGAGAAGTTTGGAGGGGCACCCGGAGGGCGCGGGGCCCACGGTGAGGTGTGTGTGGTGGAAATTGCGCGACCGAGCGACAGGAGTTGAGGGGGGTGATGGGGGGGGAAGAGGCTGGGCAGTCGGTTGCCATTCCATTTCCCCCTGGGGTGGTTGTGCCCCTGTGGCGGGCACCCTTGAGTGAGGGGCTAACTCCTGACCGGGGGGGGGGAGGATGTTCGTCGCCTCAGCCTCCAACCCTTCCCTCCCCCAAGTCGCTACCCCAACACTTCCACGGAACTTCCAGCCCCCCGTCCTCCCTACCTCCTACTCCTAGAGTCGCTTTCTAGCGCAGAACTCTTCTTTTTCGACTACCCTCCTTGAAGATTTTTCTCTTCCTTCCCTCGCCCAACTCTCCCTCGGGGCCTTTACGGAGGAAGACCCCCCCCCCCATGGGTGGCCCAAAATGGAGAACGCGGAGAGGCGCAAGATGGAGGCTCCGCTTCTCTGTGTAGCCTTAGACTTAGGTTCCTTTTCTCCGCCAGGCTCTTAAGCCCAGGAGAGAGAAAACTGGAGGTGGGGTGGGGTGCCAGTCGTAGTCGGAGAGGGGGGGGGAGGCCGCTCTGGCCGGCTGTGTCTGGGGTGGGGGCCGAGCGCGGTGTCGTGGTGAGGGGAAGGAACAGAGCAAAATGGTGGTGCTGGGAACCGGAGGGGGGGGGAGGGGAGCGCCAGGCTCGCTTGTGTATATTTGGGCCTCGGACCGCGGGAGGCGAGGGAAAATCTACTCTGATCACACCCCTCCCTCGTGCCCCCTCCCTTCTCTCTTCCCCTCCTTCCTTTCCTCCCTCCCTCCCCTCCCTCCCTCTCTTCCTCCCTTCCTAGAGAGGGAACAACATTCATGTGACGGGCCCCTCGGCTTCTCCCCCGCCCCATCATCTCCAGCGCGTGGTGGGGGAACTGCTTGGGAAAGCGATTGGCATCGATCTCTCCATCCCTTCCGAGGCCCGACTTCGGTCAGTTTTCTTAGGGCAACAATTTTATAAATAGGCTGGGGTCTGGCGGCGTTGGCCCCGCGCGCAGACCTTGCCCTGAAGGGGGCCCTGCCTGTCTGGCATGGGCGGAGGGGGGGAAGGGCGGGAGTAGAAGGCTGTTTGTTGGGGGGTTTTGGCGCCACTTTTGTTTTAGTTTTAGTGCTGCTTTTTCGTTCCCACCCCCACCCGCACTGTCTTTCTCAAGGCACGAATTGAGCTGATCCTTGCCCCAGGTAGGCAGCCTCTGTTTTTCCCTCCACACTTTTATTCTTGGCTTCAGGGCGACTTTCTCTTTTCTTCTATCACGCATCCGGAGGTCCTTAGAGGGCGATTTTAAGAGGAAAGGGGTTGGATGGGCCATGGGAGAGTGAAGGTGTGGGAAACAGCATCAAGTAGTTCCGCAAAACTTTGAGCCCCGTTCCCATTTTCTTCTGGCCTAGAATCGTAAACGTATTGTTGATTTCGGCCTCCCCCCCTTCCCGTCGCGGGAACGTCTTGTTTTCCTTTAGTTTTTTTTTTTTTTAATAAACCGCTGTACTTTCGACATTTATTTTGCGCTCCTCCTCGGTGTATATGTCATTTTATTTTTAATCTTATATTGTAATGGGTTCTCGTGTAATTTTTCGTGCTTCAGGGTTCGACTTTAATTTTTAATATTGCATTAGTAGTTTCATCCGGTTTGTGAGACTTTCTGTTCCGTGGCCTAGGATGTTTTTTATATTGTTGTTGCCTACCCCCACTCCCCTCTTCCTCTTAGATCTTGAATGCAGTTTTCAAATTGAGGGTCATGGTTTTCGATTAAATGGTTATTTACAGTTTACATGATGCATCTATGAGAAACTTTTCATCCGTGGGGTTAGGTTTAAGTAAAGGAGACGCTTGTGTTGGTTTGCAATGGTTCCTTAAAATGCGCGGGCCGCCTCCCCCCACCCCGCGTAAAGCCCCATCTTCCTCTCACAAGGGGTGTAAATTCCATACCCCCTTTCTCCCACGGACCGCCGTATTTCACAGCAGCCACACCCTGTATTTGTCTCAGTGGATTGGACTCATTATCAGCTTAATTTAGTGAGTTAAACCACCATGATGGGACTTGCTTAAGCACGAAGCTTCTTTTCCTGTTTAGTCCTAGTGGTTAGTGTCGAAAGAGGAATAATCGAGGTTTCTTATGAAACCTGGTGCGGTCCAAGCTCTGGTTTTTTCTTTTTCTTTTCTTTTTCTATTTTTTTTTCTGTTGTCTTTTTTCCTACTCCGGGCTGTTGGCAGTGTCAGCACCGCTGTTGGGGGCGGGGGGTGGAGGGGAGAAAGAGTCGGGTTACCGAAGTGCGTCATTCCTGGCTCTAGCAGGGCCTGCTCTGGAGCTGCTGGTGTTTGTTACTGTCCTCGCAGCACTTTCCTGCCAACCTTCTCTCTCTGCGTATTGGTTAGGAGCAAAAGCAGGAGGCGGTCTCCTAATTCTGTCTGTAGCCTAGCGCGTTGCGTTTAAGGGTATATGGGAACTTATTTTTTTCAAAAAGAAGGCCCTGGAAAGTGGATATATTTTGGCTTAATCACATAGAATTCTGGTACTTTAGATTTGCTTTCATTTATTTTCTAGGGGGGGTTAACTTTGAGTTTTAAACCAGTTAAAGATAAAATGCCTGGTTTTCCTTTTGCGTTTAATCAATCTGTAATTAGAGATCAGAAGGATCAGTTAAAGCATAAGTGTTCAGGGGTTTTTCAAGTGGGGAATTGTAATTTTATAACAAAATATTCTTTTTTCATTTTCAGCTAAAATGCTTGGTGAATGCAGGCCAATTACAAATGTTTCACTTCATTTTCATATTCCGATTAAGTTTCCATATTTGGGTTCATCCTTTTACATATAATTTAAAATAAAACAATTGGGTTTATGGGCTTCATTAACATTCTTAAAGATTTTTTAAAAAATTTAATTCTTAAAGAAATTTGTCATGTAGGACTTGTGTAGGATGTCTACATAGTTATTGTTGGATTCTTGGCTTTTAATTTGCCAGTCTCATACTTTTATCTTTTGTTTTTTTCAGTGTACTTATTATTGAGTACAGTGTCTTCCTCTTCATTCTTTTTAAACATAATAATAAGGGCAGCGAGTGGGTAGGAGGTATGGATGAAATAAAAGTGGTTGTGAGTTACTTATTGTATGTAGCTGGGTGAGTTTTCTTACTCTTATTCTACTTTTGTGTGCACTTGAAATTTTCCATGGTTAAAGGAAAACATTTTGGAAGAAAACATTTCCACATTGTTTGTGTAGTTTGGGTGTAATGACTTATGTTTATATGGCAAAATTATTTACCTGGGAAACATGTTTAATGGCTGGCACACGGATTTAAAAAATGCTTGAACAGAACCAGTATAAATAATGTAAACTCATAAAAATTGGTTACACTTTAAATGTTTGCAATTCAGTGTAAATGTGCTCTATTTAAATAATTTCCCTTTCAATGATTTGAAAACAGAAAAGTTCCATTTGCAAATTAAAAAAAAATTCTGCTTGGTGCCTATTTCATCAAGTTGCAGTTCAAGTGAGTCAGTATGAAAGGGATTTACTATTAATAGGAGGGGCTTTGGCAGTTGGAGTAAGTGACAGTGGAAGAGATTGGAGTGCCATGGGGTGTATTCCTGGTAGGAAGAGCTAGGCAGCTGAATTCACTTTCAATATTTGGCATTTAATGACTGGGTAGAGAAATGTATTAGAAAAGTAAGCCATTCTGCCCTACTGTGTAAGAACTTACCAGAAACTGATGCAGAGGTGGAGTGGGTTCTTTTTTTTTTTGGCTGATATGGGAATGAGTGTTTACATTTGAATTGATTTACATCACTTTTTTTGGGGGGGGGGTCCGGTCATGGGGCCTGAACTCTGGGCCTGGGCACTGTCCCTCAGCTCTTCAGCTCAAGGCTAGTGCTCTACCACTTGAGCCACAGCGCCACTTCCGGCTTTTTTCTTTTTGCTTATGTGGTGCTGAGGAATCGAACCCAGGGCCTCAGGTATGCAAGGCAAGCGCTCTACCACTGAGCCACCTTCCCAGCCCCCACATCACTTTCTTTTTTAGAGGATCTGGAGCTTATAGCTTCTTAAAAGTTACACGCCCTTAGGTGCCAAGTGCTTACCACCTGTAAGTCTAACTACTTTGGAGGATGAACTCTGAGGATCAGGGTTTGAAGCCAGCTGGGGAAGGAAAGTCTCTGAGAGTTCCAGTTAATCACCAAGAAGCTACAAGTGGAGCTGTGGCCCAAGTGGTTGAGCTCCAGCTTTGAGCAAAAAAGCTCAGGAACAACATCCATGCCCTGACTTTTATACCTAGGATTGGTATCCCCCCAAAAAAAATTACAGGAAAACTTTTACTATTTTCTCTTAAGAACTTTTTTTTACCATTGCCATCAAAAAAGTACAATTTATACATTTGATCTTCTTAGTTTTTGAACTGTTCCTTAAGTGCCTTGTTTTCTGCAATATTGTATTATGCCTAGTTAAGTGTACTTCTTGCCTGTGACATCTGAATATATCTTAAAATTATTTTAAAATTATTTTTTAATTTCATTTTTTCTATTTAAGTATATATCTTAAAATTCTGGAAGTGATTCATGATAATGGATATTTTTTAATGCTTGCTTTACCAGACTGAAAATACAAGTTTCATAACTGAACATTGGTATGCTTGTGTATTTCATGTTTATTTCAACTTTAGAAGACAGCTTATATATTTCAGTTTTATTCCTATGCAAATATGCTTAAGTAGATGATGAGGATTGTGGCATTAGACTTATTTTATTGTGGTAAGGCAATAGCTACACTACTAAACCAACAAACCAAGTTTGGTAACTTTGAAGTTTATTTAGTTAGGATTTTTAAAGGCCAAACACTCAAGCTTTAATGAAATTAAATTCTGCATTTCCTTTTCATTGTTTTCCTTTTTGACTCTTATTGACTCCTGTTGTTTCCTTAG